AACCAGGACTCCAACAGGACTGCCACTCAACAAAGCTGTGATCATTACCTCAACAGAACTGCCACCATCATCTGGACCAACAAGTTTCCTTTCCTTTTACTTTGCACCCAGGGGGGCCAAGTCGTGCTCAGCACAGGGGTCAATGAGCACTGTTCTGTTCTGGTCCCAGGGTACTGAGTTATGCATCTGTATTTGGGGGTTAAAACCAGTTTTTCTCTGCATCATTGTATTTATGTAATCTTTTTAGTGAATTGTAGATCTGACTTGTAATCTCTTGGGTTCATTTCTCCCACTGGTTTACTTTTAAACCAGCACACCCACTTTGACTGTTTTTTTCATGTGTATAAATAAGGCCATTCTTCATTAACCATTTCCTATCTGTCAGCTAAAATCAGGTAAACCTGTTAGCAAGACAGTTTGGTGTTCCTATTGGTTTTTTAGTCCCTGGAAAGTGCTAGTTTGTCCATGTTTGTATACAAACCTGACTGTGCGTAGTACTTTCTAAGTGGCATAGTATTCTTACTGTCCTACCACATCTTTTACAGATTAATCCTTTTGCCATGGAAGCCGAAGAAATGATGGAATGTATCCAGGAATTCCCTGAACACTATAAAGTTATTTTGGATAGACTAAATGAACAACGTGAACAGGACCAGTTTACAGATATCACTCTGATTGTCGATGGTATGTATACTCCCAAGAACCAGTTGGTATCCAGAGAATTCTGTGCTAGGAAGCTGTTGGGTTTGTCACAGGTCAGCTGTCAAACTTGCCTGCTAACAAATTCTTGGCTCTGTATTGATGTGTGAATTGTTTGCAGAGTTTCATTTATTAATCTTGGGCTGAACAGAGTCTCCAGCAGTGATTAATAATTTTTCTTCTGCTTTTCATATAATCTCAGAATGGTTTGGATTGGAAGGGACCTTGTCTCAGTTTAATGAGACACAAGTGTTTTGTTGAGGGTGAGTTATGAGGAAGACCCAAACTCCTCCCTCTGAACCATTGTAAATCTGAAATTAAGAGGTGCTAATTGAGAAAAAATGTGAAAAAAAGGAAAAAAATAACAACCCTTTATTAAAAGATATCTGTGTATTGGCAGAACAATGAAAGAACACAAATAAAATAACCAAACAATAATCCTATACCCAAAAATAATCCCCTTCAAAACAAACAAACAAAACAAAAAAGTAAACAGTTCAGTTTGCGCCCTTTGGTGCAATTCTAACCACAGTCAGCAGGGGGCACTGATGGATCACTGGAGATGCAGAACCTGTAGTGTTCTGTGCCAACCAGCAGGGGGGGCTGTTGAATCACTGATAGTCACCAAGTAAGGGGCCCCCCGGGTGTGCTGGAGAAGCCTAAAATGGAGGTCTTCCCTCCTCCTCATTGGGTAAGGGGAGAAAAGAGGGAAAGGAAAAAAAGAGTTCCTCCCAATGGGAACTCACCCTGTCCTGCTGGCTGAACCACGTGATGAGGCTTCCCCTCTCCTTTGATGTGCACGAGAACTGCTGCCCAAAACCAAAAAAACAGGGGAATGAAGGAGGGGAAAGAAGGCTACCCCTCTCCCAAACAGTTCCTCTCCAAGGAAAATCCAAACAACTTCCAGGCTGGCTAGAAAAAACAACAGGTCAAGGCAAAACTGGGGCCAGGAGGGAAGGAGGAAAAACAAAACAAAACCTGCCAGACAACCAGGCTGAGAACAAAGCCACCTCGGAACTCCTGCTACCCAGACCTTCTCCCAGCTCAGGCAATAACCAAGTCACTGCCGTTTCCCAGGAGAGGAGAAAACAGTAAAAAAAGAACTCCTCACCCCTCCCCACAGACAAGATCTTGAGGGCTATCAACTTGGAATGTGGTTCTACCAGCCACTTCTTTTGTGTTAGTCAATTGCCCAAGCCACAGCCACCCTCTGCCCATTCAATATCCCCTTCACACAGTGGGCAGGGGGAAGGGAAAATTCCTGTTTAGTTTCCAAGAACAAGTAAAACCATGACAGACAAAGCTCATCTCGTTCCACCCTCTGACGCGGGCAGGGACACTTTTCACTAGACCAGGTTGCTCCAAGTCCTGTCCAACCTGGTTTTGAACACTTCCAGGGATGGGGCAGCCACAGCTTCTCTGGGCAATCTGTGCCAGGGCCTCACCACCCTCACAGAGAAGAACTTCTTCCTGATATCTAATCTAAACCTGTTGTCCTTCACCTTCAGGTCATTATGCCCCTTGCATCATCATCCGGACCAACAGATTTCCATTCCTTTTACTATGCACCCACTAGGGTCAAGTTTACTGAGCACAGGGGGTAACGAACACTATTCATTTCTTGTCCCAGAGTGCTGGGTTATACATCGGTCTGGGGGGTAAAAACAGGTTTTCTCTGTATCGTTGTATTTATTGTAATCTTCTTAGTAAATTGTTATTTTGATTTGTAATCTCTCTTAAATTGGGTTAATTTTCCCCACTGGTTTATGTTTAGACTAGCACAGTTGGTTTCTTTGGTAGATGGGAAAGGTAAAGTTACAGTTGATGTAATTTCATGTTTAAGTAGAGTTTGAGTGACTTTAGTCATTAGCATATGTGAGGGCATGAAAAGTAATATGTATTTTCAAGTTAATGAAACTAAGTTCAGCTTTCAGTCACTGTTTGGGTCAGCCCTTTGACATAATTCCTGTGTCCCAGTTTAAATGAGACAAGGGTCTTTTGCTGAGGATGAGTTATGAGAAAAGACCCAAACTCCTCCCTCTAAGCAATTATAAATCCAAAATTATGAGGCTCTGATTGAAGGAAAAACAAATTATGGAAAAGGAAAAAATAACAGCCCTTTATTGAAAGGTATGTGTGTATTAACAGAAACATAAAAAACTCCAAGTAAAACAACCAAACAATACTCCTATATCCACAAATAATCCCCTTCAAAAAATCAAACCAATAAACAGGCAAAGTAAACAGTTCAGTTTTGTGCCCTTTGTTGCAATTCCAAAATTCCAAATTCAACACCATTCACCACCACTCTCTAGGTCCGACCTTCCAGCCAGTTCTTGACCCAGCATAGGGTGCCCCTGTCCAAGCCATGGACTGCCAGTTTTTTCAGGAGAATGCTATGGGAGATGGTGTCAAAGGCTTTGCTGAAGTCCAGATAGACCACATCCACAGCCTTCCCCTCATTCACCAGGTGGGTCACCTGATCATAAAAGGAGATCAGGTTGGTCAGACAGAACCTGCCCTTCCTAAACCTATGTTGTCTGGGTCTGATCCCTTGTCCATCCTGTAGTTGCTGTGTGATTGCACTTAGGATGATCTGCTCCACAACCTTGCCAGGCACTGAGGTCAGGCTAACAGGCCTGTAGTTTCCTGAGATTCATTCCAATTGATAATATGTAACAGGAGCTGAGTAACTGAAATTACATCCCATAATGTCAACAAAGTTACAGACACAAATATTAGAGTGATTTCATGTATCGACAATATGATTTTTTAAAAATACAAAATCATAGGGGGTTCTCATATAAGCTATCATAGGTTAACTTGTTCTAAAAACCAAGGGGAAAGTCTTTTTTTTTTTTTTTTCCTTTGCATCCCAGGAAAAGAAAGATGTTGAATGGGGTAGGGTTGTTTGCCTTGGGTGATTGATCCACACAAAAGAACTAACCAGTAGATCCACATTCCAAGTTGATGGTCCTCCAAAGACTGTGGGGATGAGTTGTTCGGCTTTTTTTTCCCCCTTTCCTCAGAAATGGGAGGCACTTTGGCCCAAACTTGGGGGAAAGATGTGTTTTTAAGGGGTCTGAGGTTCACTTTGTTTTCGACCTGGTCACCTGGCTGTTTTCTGGCCCTGGTTTGCATCCATTTTCCTGCACTCTGTTCTGCCCCCAGCCCAGACCTTCTTGGACTTCATCGAAGAGGATTGACCAACCTGCAGAGGAACAGTTTGGGGAGGAGGTCACCCTTTCTCTCCTCTGGTCTCGTGTTAGCAGTGGCGTGTGCCTATTGAGGAAAGGGGAGAAATCCCAGCCACAGTCAGCTGCAGACAGTGTGAATTTAGTGGGAAAGAGTCCCTTTTTTCCCCTTTTTCCCCCTTCCCCTGCTTGGTGAAGAGGGGGAAAGATCTCCATTTTCCGCTTCTCCCACACACCAGGGCCCCACATGGAACCTGGTAGAGCCCAACAGCACCCCCTGCTGGCCACCACAGAGCAACTGCAGGCTCTGCTCCTCCAGTGATAAAACAGCGCCCCCTGCTAATTATGGTTAGAATTGCACCACAAAGGAGAAAATATTGAACTGTTTCTTTTTTGAAGGGGACGTTTGGATACAGGATTAGTGTTTAGTTGTTTTTGTGTTCTTTTATTGCTCTGCCAATACACATATATCCTTTAATAAAGGGCTGTTATTTTTTCTTTCTCCATATTTCCTCAATTGGAGCCTCTTAATTTCAGATTTACAATTGTTTAGAGGGAGGAGTTTGGTCTTCCTCATAACTCATCCTTCTTAGCAAAACACTTCAGTCTCATTAAACTGAGACACAAACAAATTCTTTTCCAATATCTACAAGTATGGTATTGGAGGCTTCATCAGGCTGTATCTCAAAATGACAAATGTTGTTCCATGTCAAGACAAATGTCTTGAGCTCTGATGGTGTTGGTCTCGCAAAAAAATCCTTGTTCCTGTACAACACATGCATTGATATCAATAGTTTACCATTTATTTCCATCCTATTGGGCCCATACTGTATGCTCCAGGGGATAGAGTACAGAACCATTGGGATTTAATCCTGACACAATGATTGGGTATATGGGATATACCAAAGCATTGTGTATTATTAAAACAAAAGCTGTGGCTTTACTGTTGGTGAGGTCATAAGTGAAATTAACTGGTTACCACCTAGAGTGGAATTCCCTTTCCAATTTAGCTGCATTATCTCAGGTTACCTTTTGAGTTTCATTGGGAAATTGCTCTCATCTCCTTCCTTTATAATTGCTGCACCAGTAAATTGCACCCACAGCTGAGAAGTGTGTGTGGTACAGAACGTACTATAGTTACTATACTCACCAACCATATGAAGTTCAACAAAGGAAAGTGTCAGATTCTGCACCTGGGATGGGGCAACCCCGGATCTATGGACAAACCAGGCAATGAGATGCTGGAAAGCAGTGCTGGGAAAAGGGATCTGGGGGTCCTGGTCAATGGCAAGTTGGATATTAGTCAGCAGTGACCTGGTAGCCAGGAGGGCCAATTGTGTCCCAGGGGGCATTAGGCACAGCATTGCCAACCGGGCGAGGGAGGGGATTGTCCCACTCTACTCTGCACTGGGGCAGCCTCACCTGGAATATTGTGGCAGTTTTGGTCTCTGCAATATAAGAAAGATATTAAGCTGTTAGATAGCATCCAAAGGAGGGCAACAAAGATGGTGAATGGCCTTGAGGGAAAGCCGTATGAGGAGCAGCTGAGGGCACTTGGTCTGTTCAGCCTGGAGAAGAGGAGACTGAGGGGAGACCTCATTGCAGTCTACAACTTCCTTGTGAGAGGAAGAGGAGGGGCAGACACTGATCTCTGCTGTGTAAAGACCAGTGACAGGACCCAAGGTAATGGCCTGAAGTTGTGTCAGGGGAGGTACAGATTGGATATTAGAAAAAGGTTCTTCACCAGAGGGTGACTGGGTACTGAAACAGGCTCCCCAGGGCATTGATCATAGCACCAAGGCTGACAGAGCTCAAGGAGCATTTGGATGATACTCTCAGACACATGGTGTGACTCTTTGGGATGGTCCTGTGCAGGACTGGGAGTTGGGCTCAATGATCCTTGAGAGTCCCTTCCAACTCAGCATATTCTGTGATTCTTGTCATTACTCATTACTCACTCAGTACTCATTACTCAGGACTCATTACTCACTCCTTGTAAATATGACCTGTAGGTCTCTTCAAGAGGATTGGACATAATACCATCCCTTCTATTCTTCCTAGGGGCTTGCCCACGGGAAACTGGAGCGGCATTTATCCTTGGTGCTTATTCTTCCTCTCAACTCACACTGCCAGGGCAGAGGTGTGTTTTCCATCCCACCTCCACATGTCTTCTCCATGTTCGTGCAGGTAAAACCACAGGTTACCTTGTGGAGTGTCCCCTCTCCCTTGAGCAAGGGGGTGTCTGCTGGGGTCTTGGCAGTTTTAAAGGATTGTGCTGGGTTCTGAGAAGGCCAGGAGCTGACCGTTAGTCAAACAAGAACAAGTCTGCAGCTGCAGGAATGCAGAGGTCAGCAGAAAGCAATGTGTGAGAAACGGTAATAACAGAAACTTTTCCCAGGAATGTGTGATTTAAGACTACCAATCGTTGGACTGTCTGGGGCGCATGGACAATGTGTGCTGGCCAATCATGATAGCATGCTGTGCTCGTGGTCGCATGTCTAGGATTTAGAGGATTATATATTGTGTAGCCTTCTGATAAAACGGATTGGAATCTGCATCTCATAGATGTGTCGTTCTTTCCTGCTCGCGTGAAATGCCTGCGGCAGGTGTCTGCTCCCAATAGCAAAGACCCTGATCTGTTCTCGCAAGACATGAAAAATTTCCTCCCTAAGATCCTCTTTAAGTTTCGGGTTGCCCTCTTAAACTTCCTCTTTTAAATTCCAGAAATCTTCAGTCAGTCTTTACAAGGAGGGCCCATAATGGAACAGAGATAGTTTTTTCATATGTCCAGAGTCTGCCAACCAAAATGCCCATTTTTACTTTGACCTTCCATGCCATCACTCACAATGAGTTTGCATATGACACCAGCATGATCTGTATGAATGTCAGCCACATGTTTGGTGTACACTGGTGTCGTGGTTTTGCTCTCGGTCAATTTGCTTTCACACCCCACACACAATTGTTATCAGTTGAGAGAAGGTTTATGCAGACAAAAGAGACTGGATTTGGGAAAATAATATGAACATTTATTATTAACAAGTTGAAACTAAAGAACTATATCTACAACAATTTTACTTAAGTAAAAGTACTATGCATTTACAGAAATATTTCTCCCCCCTTTATATCAGTTCAAGGAGGAAAAGCAGTTTCTTTCTCCATTTCTTGGAGCTCCAGGTCTCTTCAATAATTTTGCAGCACTCTTGTCGCAGCTGGAACTCTTTCATCTCTCTTTGTCAGCTCCAAGGCTGGGCCTACCCCCTCCTGGGGTAAGACCAGAGGCTGGGGGTTACCCAGGCCCTGAAGGTTTCCTCTTCCATGGGCTTGCAAGGGGACACTTGCCTACCATGGATTTTTACCACAGGATCACAGGAGATAATGACTTATGAGTCCACCCCTATTTTCCTGTGAGGTCCCTTCCCACGGGAGAACAGTCCTTGATAGACCTCTCCGATATGGGTCTAGCATGGATCCCTTACTCGGATCCCAACATCTTACCCGAGCCATTTGCTCCGGCGTAAGGCTCTCTCTCAAGGTCACAAATCTTCAGTAGTAGTGTGGATCCCTCATTCAGATCCCAAGCTTACCCGAACTGTCTGCTCTGGCGTAAGCCACATCCCTTCAGGGTCATAACTCTTCAACAGGACTCTGCTTTATCTCAGTCTTTTTCATGAAGTCTCAGCTTCCTTATGTAACTTACTCTAGTGTAGGCTCCTCCACGAGCAACATGGGGTCTCCTCACCCCAACAAACTTCTACAGGTGGTAGGGATTATTTTTTTTAGTCTTTTTCCTGCTGAAGGGAGAGAGCGAAAGGAGGGAGAAACAGGTCCCCTTCACACTTTTCTTCTTTCTCCTCCGGTTGCCAGCTTTGACCTTGGAGGTCCCTTATGTCTTTGCTGGAATTCTTCTGCAGCAATTCTTCATCCAAGTAGTCAGTCCTTTAAAGTTTTTTTTCTTCACTCTCTTACAAGAGAGAAGGGGGGTTTCAGTGCCACACCTGACCCCGGCCCAGGGCCGGGGGAGGAGGGGGCCTTAGCCCACCTCGGGGCCTACTGCCGCCTCTCCTACATGGTTGCTATTCCTAATTTCAACTGCTCAACAACCTTCTCTTCCATTATCTTAAATATGTAATTAGCAAAGGCATTACTGAGAGTTTTAATTGGTTTCTTGTCCAGAAATCCACCTAGACAAAACCATCCTCAACCCCAGGGGCTGGTCAGTTGGGCAAAACCACAACAACTGGATGCCATCTGGATTATTAGGGAATTGCTCGTCATCTGCAAAGATTTTCTCCAGCACAGCTAATTCTCTCACGCACTGGATACCTTGCTCCATAGTGTACATACCTAGCTTTAGCACTAGGTATCACAGCATATTGAGTACTATCAATAACAATACTTATATACTGAGCATCACAGGCTTATACTTCTGACAGCACAAAGTGAATTGATACTCTTGACCACTGCAAGTTAGAAGTTAGATAGCTTGACACTTCCACTTGTTCTGAGCATCACCAATATGCAGATACTCCTACATTCAGCTTTAATCAGATATCTTATACTTTAAGTTTCAATATCATCAGCTCCAATGCCAACAGTGGAAAAATACAGTATCTGCTCAAGCACAGTTGAAATGCCTAAGCTGAGAAGAGCCTATATTTTACTTAACGCAGATAAATCAATACAAGGATTGGAGAAGTATAGCTAGTGCTTCTAAATTTAAGGGCAGGGATGCCCTATCTATTATTGGGACAGATGAGATGATCAGTTGACCTTAAAAGGGATAATTAATATAAATGAGCAACAGGATGACTGAAAAGCCACCCACAGGAAACTGGACTCAGTGAGGCTCAGGTAAGTACAAAGTAAGAACCAATGCCCTTTCACAATTCTTGTGATAATGGGATAAAACAATACCATCTTTTACGAGACAGCAATCAGACGAATTGTATTTCATAAACTGGGGATTAATTCCTCCACTATAAACACAATTTCCATCTGAAAACATTTGCTTTGAAACACATTCATGAAATAACAATTTCCCACCAGCCTAAACAACTCTTTCTTTCCACTTTTTTAATATTAAGAAGAAAGATTCAGAAGGTCCACACAAGACTGTGAACCCACAACTTTGTGGTTTCACAGGGACAGTTTCCCCTTTCTTTCCTGTTAAAAAAAAAAAGCATCCTTAAAACCCAACAAGTCAGCAAAGTTTTAACAAGTTTTAAGGATCTCAAACTTTATTTTAATAAAGGATCAGACTCACAAAAAAGTGAGGTTTTTTGTGCCAGTAGCTCACTTGACTTGTGCACTTCCAGCAATGGACTTTGCTCTATGGCAATTTCCCCCCCCACCCCCCCCCCGTACTAGGATAAATTTCACAAGGGCAACCTAAACAAAAATACTTGCAAACACTAGCTTCATGCATCATTGCTCCATCATTTTCAGAAGAACAAACTGATTAGTATTCATTAATTTATTATAAACAACTATTTTACCAAGGGTTGACTGTACAAATACAATGTTTTGAAATTGTAATTTAACAGATGTTTTGCTACTTTATATTAGATAACATAGCTTTGTAGAATTAGCAAACATAATTCAACAAAACTTCATTCTGTACAATATCTGAATTTAAATATATATTACAAACTTACAACGTTCATGGCATAGGTCATTTCCACTCTGGACTTTAAAAAAAAAATACCAGAATGGATGTCCCATTACCATTGTATATCTACTAGTTGCAAAATGGACAGCTTTTAGCCTGCAGGGTTAGGGTTAGGGTTAGGGTTAGGGTTAGGGTTAGGGTTAGGGTTAGGGTTAGACAAGAAAACTCATACAACATGTGACCCCACTCCTACAATATTTCCAATAGTGAGAATTTAAAAGTACAAGCCAAATTCAAAGTTAGAAATAGTCTCTTAGAAACGTACATATAAAGAATAGCAAGATGCCAGTTTTTCCAACAAAATGATCTTCCTAATCTTCCTTAGTTTGCCACTTAAAACAGTTCCATAATATCCAGAAGATTTATTTGAAAATTCTACTGCCTTAAATACTTCTATTACAGTTAAACAATCCTGAAAGATGTCAAATCAACAAACCCAAGAAATATATCCTTTTTGTTCTTTAGAAGAAAAAAAACCAAAAAAACCTACTACCTCCCTTTTTCCTCTTTCCTCCCAGGCTGCTGTGATTTATAACGCAGGTATAAAATAGGTAATGTGGATATTAAGGAGAATTACAGAGTAACTAACACAGTAGGTCAGATTCTTGGGAAGGAAAACAAACTCTAAACAAACAAACAAGAAATCCGATCAGTGTCGTTCCCTTCTCCATCAGTCTAGCCATTCTTATCCAGTCATTTTGGCAAGGAAGAGAGCAATAAATGTTACTTTCCTAAAGCAATGGTGTGATGGAAGGTAGACTGGGAAAAGAAAAGAAAGGCGATAAAGGAAAAGACAAGTACAGTATTCAGAAGACTGTTTACTGTCAAATGACAAGAACCCTAACGTTAAAAGTTTGAACTATTTTGCAACCCACTTTTGAGTACAAGTAGAAGAGTTAACAGCATAGGTTTCAAGTAATTTTACACAAAAAAAGCAAATAGAATATGTGTTAAGGAATCCACAAAGCCCCTAGTAAGTTACTCCATCTGCAGTATATTAATGATTTTAGTGTTCTGAAAATACTATAAGTATCATCATCATCATGGTCATCATCAAAATACTATAAGTATCAGCACACCATGTTATGACAAATCTTTTCAAGGATTTTAAACAGTTTTTGCATGCTTCAGTTAAGTACTACTGTACACTGAAATTTCAGTACTACTGCAATCCTTTCTTTCTCTCACCCTACCCTCATAACTTTTCTGCATTCCCTACCTCAGAGGTATCAATGCTCCCTATTGGAAATTACAACAGTAACACCTTCAGATTCAGTTATTTCAGGGATTCTTAACACTTCCTTGGCAGGGTTTGGGATCTGCTAAGAAGGGGAAAAAACAAAATCAAAAAAACATTAAATATGGTTTTCTAGTTCACAAACATTCATACTTCATGGCTAGTTCAACTCTCAAACAACATTCATGATACACTGGATGGCTTGGTCTTGGGTCATTTAAATCAGTCATGTTTCACGCAAAAGAATTATGTGAAGAGAGCCAGTTTGTTCTTGTTTTATTCTTGTGCAATTTTGATCTTGTTATGATGAAACATATTTTTTAAAACACCACGCTCATTTTTTTATTTCTGACTTGTATGTTATATATTTAGCAAAGTACTTGATATAACTTGTTAAACCACTTCCTCATTTAACATACATGCATGTGCTAAGAAAAACATAAACTGTTCTACCATTTATATCAAACTAAAAAAACTGCTGGATGTTTACCTCATGAACACCACCTGGGTGGACAACTTCAACTATTGCCTTCAGAGGTCCACACACATGAGTGGGTTCCGTGCATAAGTTCTTCTGTGTTTTCCATCCACACGCACAAGGTACCACGTCCCTTCAAAGAGATCTTCAACTGAACACTGTGGAATATTGGCTGTAAAAAAGCCCATAACATACTCTTAGTTGGTTCAGGGTGTGAGTTTTATACAACACAGGCCTTTGCAGTTTGGGAGTAGTAAGACAGAAAAACCAAGTCTGCCTTTTCATTTCAACCGTACTAGGCCAATAAACATAAGCTATAGAAAAGCACTTTACAAGCCAATCCAAAGTAGAAAGAGAATCGTTTAAGTTATGCAAATTAAGCAATGAGTATTTTACTGTAGGACTATGAGTTATTTATAATGTTCTTACCCAAATTATGTGTTTCCCGTCTAATCTTCATGTTTTTAGCAAAGGCATCAGGTGCAATGCATTTTCTTGAGTCAAGTCTTGTTTTAAGATCAGAAAGGCTATCAGTTATTTTTTCCAGTGCAGAACTTAAAATATAAAACCATCATGTACAGTAGCACCAGTGCTGAGAACCACACACTACCATGTTAGCATTTCAAGTCCATTCAAAATATTTTACATTACAGAAGCTAAAGCTTTAGTCATTTAAAGATATTCCCAATAACTCAAGCAAGACACTTAAAGAATCTGAAGAATATTATTTATTTGCCCAAAGAGAAACTTAAACCATTCTCTGGAGTTGGAACATCTTGAGTTTAACACTACTGTCATTAGACATATAGGTTACTTATGCTGGTGGGCATAGCAAAGCATTTAGAGGTGAGCTGTACAAGGGTGTTAGTTAACATCTCTTCCTTTCACTCACCAGGAGTGGCATCCTGTGTAACTTTGATGGAATACAGTGTAGCAGCAAAAACAGAGCCATTTGAGAACACACTAACTCCCTGTCCTGCGAGCTGCTCTGGGGAATACCTGCAAATCAAGCAACAGATGTTTAAAATGAGAATTAAACCAAGGTGCCAATTTTAAATACCTAGAAAGCACAGCTAGTTTAGGAAAAGCAGTCAGTAAAATGTTATTAACTACAATACACATTTAGTGAGTAAAAGGCATAAACAATGATTTGTAAAAATAGGATTTCAAACACTGATGTTACATGATGATTTTCAAAGCTACCTAAGCAAAAGAGCCTAAAAGGCAGCCAATTTCCATTCTTAAGTTACCTAAAGCCTAAAATGAACCACCACATCTTAGAGTACAAAGTCACAATAAAGAAAAAAGAACACAAAAGGAGTGGTTTAATTTAAACTTAAGATGATTTTATAAGAACCTGTCATTGGGGGAAAAAAAAACACCACCAAGAAAACCCACAACAGGACTTGAAGGTCCTGGTGGGTGAGAGGCTGGACATGCCCCAGTCACGTGCACTCAACCCAGAAACCAACTTTTGGTGCACCAAAAGCAGTGTGGGCAGCAGGTGAGGGAGAATTCTGCCCCTCTGCTATGCTCTGGTGAGACCCCACCTGCAATGCTGCCTCCAGCATTGGGGTCCCAGCACAGGAAGGATAGGGACCTGTTGGAACAAGTCCAGAGGAGGCCACTAAGTTGATCACAGGGCTGGAGCACCTCTTCTAGAAAGACAGATGTGGGGTGTGGCTATACCAGGTGCTGCAGAGGCATTCTGGGAATTGTAGTTTTAAGTACTCTGTTGCACATGCTCACTTGAATGCTTGTATGGGATTGGTTTAGGAAGTTACCTGTGTGACGTGGGATCATTTGAAACTACTATTTAAGCTGTGACTATTTGAATAAAGACAGATTCGTTAATCACCACACTGGTGTTCACCATAGTCCCTATGGGACTTATTTATTTATTATATTAATAACTGCTACAGACAGAATCGGGGCTGTTCAACCTTAAAAAGAGAAGGTTTTAGGGTGATATTATAGCAGCCTTCCAGGAACTAAAGGAGGTCTATAGGACAGATTAAGAGAGACTTGTTATCAGGGAGTGTAGTGTTAGGATATGGGGTAACGGCTTTACACTGAGGGCAGGGTTAGATTGGATACTGGGAAGAAATTCTTCCCTGTGAGGGTGGTGAGGTCCTGGCACAGGTTGCCCAGAGAAGCTGTGGCTGTCCTATCCCTGAAAAGTGTTCAAGGTCAGGTTGGACAGAACTTGGAGCAACCTGGTCTAGTGGAAGGTGTCCCTGCCCATGTCAGGGGGTGGAACAAGATGAGCTTTAAGGTCCCTTCCAACTCAAACCATTCTGGGATTTTGTTTATCATATGTCGCAGACGCGGGAAAGCAGGGACACTCAATATGAGAATCAACATGCTCCGTTTATTGAACACACACCACAGCAAAATATAGGATAGATAATGAGCTTATTAATATTCTGTAATTTAACTACACGACTGGTCCGGACCGCCTTTATTTCTTGTTTGTGGGGACCCTCAGTTTTTCATTTTCCCAGGATGTAGTAATAACAAGATCTTGTTATTGAGCAACGGCTATCGCTAAGAGATTGGCATGACCTTGCTTGGACAGCAGCTACACCAACTGTGCTTAAAGTTGCTAAGTCGATACCCTCTCAGCTCCTGTGGGTCTGCATGCCTCTTTTCATGTAGCCAGTTCTCCACAAGAAAAGATCTCTGAGATCATGGAGTCCAACCCTTAACCCAACACTGGCATCTTCACCACTGAACTGTGTCCCCAAGAGGCACAGCTCAATGTTTACTGAACACTTCCAGGGATGGTGACTGTAAGACCCCAGGTTTGAGCTACCAGCTCATCAAAGGTGTTTTCTTTAAAAAAATATACAAGGCATCAAAAATATCCACCCTCCAGATATTTGAAAATGGACTTCAGTTCTTTAAGTACCTTGAGGGAGCACCGTGGAAAAGATGCAACACACTTTTGACCTCTCAGGAGGTCAAAACCCACACTTTTACTGGTAAACTTTAGAAAAGAAGGGAGTTTGGCAAAAGGTGAAAGGGCAACCTTCAACCAAATAGAGCACTCCCCAAAGCATTGACTGAGCACAGGTCAACCCAGACAAGTCAGCAAAAACCCAACCCATCCAGTTTTAAGTTTCCTCAAATATTATGAGACATTGAGAGAATAAGAAGGAGTAAGGAAAGAAAGAGAAGTGCAGCTCCCACCCGCAGTCTGGTGCCAGTGCAGCTTCCCCATGCCCAGGTGGAGGCCCTGACCACGCGATGGCCGCACAGGGCTCGTTTGAAATGCTCTGCCCCTTGTGCCCACCCCCCAGGGGAGTCTTGTGGCCCAGTGGCCACTCTGGGGCTCCAGGAGGGTGAGGGGCAGAGTTCCTGGTGTGCTGGAGCCAGTGTGGGGCTGGGTTAGGGGCTCCAGGCTGTGGGATGGGGCAGTGCTCCTGGGCTGCTTTGGACTGACAGCAGCTCCAGGGCTGCCCAAGGAGACTCCAAGGGCTGGGCAATGGAACAGTGTTGGAAGTTTCCCACAAGAAATATATTCATGGTGGAGGAAAACCTCTGAAGAAAAAGAGAATTGAGGAAAAGACAGCTTTGAAATGCAGCTAAGCTACTGGACAACAGATGAGTTTTCACCTCAGAAACTGCTTTTAATGTTATAAAAGTGTTAAGTTTATTCAATTAAGTAACAATGTTCTTAGAGAAATACCCTTTTTTGTATATAATATGCAGTTTTGATTACTGTTAAACCTACCCCTATCTGCTGATTGTAAACCCTAAGCTCACTAGCCCTCCTAGTAGAATTTATAGATTTTCCCTGTTTTCTATCTCCCTTGCCCATGTTTAGATATTCCTTGCATGTAAGATTCCCTTAAAATCATCCCAAATTCCACACATTCCTTGCTCTTCCAGATAAAAAGGTAGCTCACACTGCAATAAAGTCCATTTTGCCATTTTATCTACACAGAGTGGGATTTCTGAGCAAAGTGGACCCACAGTCTGATATTCTCAGAGGTGTAACAGCTCCCGCCTCTGATAGAACTGGGCACCACCTTACCTCCGGGAAATTCCACCTGTCCCTTCCCCACACACACATACTGCAGTTGTTCTGAGTCAAGAATTATCACAATAATCCAGTGTCTCACAGGTTCCTTTATTCCATGAGATTCCACAGTGTCACAGTGGTCCCTTATGCTCCATAAGCCCTGCACTGTGACCATGGTCCCTTGATTCCAGAAGATTCCCATATGTCACAGTGGTCCTGAGGATTCCATGAGGTTCTGTGGTGTCCCAATTGCACAGTGATTCCATTGGGTCCAGAGTGTCCCAGCACTCCTTTGTCTCCCATGGCCCTGCAGGGTCACAGTGTCACAATGTCACAGTGTCACAATGCCCCCTTGATTCCAGGAGGTCCAGCACCTTCCCGGGACTCCTTTGGTTCTGTGACACCCTGGAGTGTCATCAAGGTCCCTGGATTCTGTGAGCTGCCCCAGTGGCCAAGGGCCTTTGGCTCCATAAGGCCTTGCACTGTGGCAATGGTCCTTGGATTCCAGGAGGTTCCAAAGTGTCACAATGGCCCTGATACCAAAAGGCAGCAGAAACAAACACCTCCACCCCAATTTGTAGGTATTAAGAAGCAGGAATTGTTCTTTATTCAGCACTGGACATTGGTAGGGAAGCTCCTCTAACTGAAGGTGCCAAATGATAGATGGACAGGGTTTCTTATTGCACACTCTGCTTACATATTCATTAGATATTCAGGTTTGTTTAATACATATTCATTAGTTTGCTTCAAAGGATCAACCCCCTGGAGGTCCTTCTTTGATCATTCCAGGCTTCCTCTGTTGCCTTGCTCTCAGTTCTTGAGCAGGCCCATCGTCATCCTGTTCCACCACCACCAACTGCTGCGTTTGTTCTTCACCTTATCTGGGGACACAAAACTTCTTTACATCCTGTTTGTTTGAGTTACACCCCTGATCTAATTCTCCAGGACTTCTCTAAGATTACATTGCTCCATATTTGGGCATTCTGTGAGTCAAGTTTCTATTTCTCCCATCACCATCCCATGGCACAGGCAGGACATCCAAGGGATCAGGCCCAGTCAGTGTGGGTTTGGGAAAGGAAGGTCCTGCCTGACCAACCTGGTCTCCTTCTATGACAAATGACCCCCTCAGCAGCTGAGGGAAAGACTGGGGATGTGTCTGTCCTGACTTCAGGAAAGCCTTTGACCCCATCTCCCACAGCATCTCCTGCACAAACTGGCTGCTCATGGTCTGGAGAAGGTAATTTTTTGCTGGGGGAAAAACTGGCTGATGGCCCAGGGAGTGGTGGGGCATGGAACTAAATCCAGGTGGGACTGGTCACTAGTGGGGTTCCCAAGGGTTCAGGGTTGGGGCTGCTCCTGTTTAACATCATTATTGGTGACCTGGATGAGGGGATCGAGTGCCCCCTCAGGAAATTTGTGGATACCATGAAGTTGGGTGTGTGTGGATCTGCTGGAGGGAAGGAAGGCTCTGCAGAGGGATCTGGACAGGCTGCATCAATCAAGCCAAGTGTCAGGGACTGCACGTGGGTCCCGACAACCCCCTGCAACGCTCCAGGCTTGGGGCAGAGGGGCTTGAGAGCTACTCATCAGGAAGGGACTTGGGGGTGCTGCTTGAGAGTGACTGGATATGAGCCAGAGTGTGCCCAGGGAGGCAAGAAGGCCAAGGGTACCCCGGCCTTTCTGGAGAACAGTGTGGGCAGCAGGACCAGGGCAGGGATTGTCCCTCTGTGCAGGGCACTGGGGAGGCCCCACCTGGAGTGCTGTGTCAAGTTCTGGCCCCTCAGTCCAAAAAGACCCTGGAGGGGCTGGAGTGTGTCCAGAGAAGGGAACGGAGCTGGGGAAGGGTCTGGAAAACATGTGTGATGCAGCTGAGGGAACTGGGGTTCTTTAGTCTGCAGAAGAGGAGGCTCAGGGAGCACCTCATCACTCTCTACAATGACCTGAAAGGAGGTTTTAGTGGGAAAGGGGGGTCAGTCTCTTCTACAAAGCCTTTAGTGAGAAGAGAGGAAATGGCCTGGAGTTGCCTTGGGTGAGGTTCAGATTAGATATTACAAAATTCTTATCTCACTGAGAGAGTGTTTAGGTGTTGGAACAAGTAGCCAAGGGAGGTGGTGGAGTCTCTGGAAGTGTTCAGATGGCATCTGGATATGGCACTTTGGGATATGGTTTAGGGTTGATTATGTTGGTGCTGGCTGACAGCTGGACCAGAAGATCTTGAAGGTCCCTTCCAACCTTGATGATCCTGTGATTCTGTGACCTGTCATCACAGTTTCCAGGTTTGTGTTCTTACACAGACCTAATGATGTTTTTTCAGTTCGTTTCCTCAGTGGGACCCATTAACATCACAAGAAACTTCACAGTTTGAAGCTCACTTTGGTTTCTCAAGAGGTTCCTCAACTCTCCTCAGGGTCTGATGTTCAGGGACTCATCCCCAAAGCCCCCAAGGGTGATGAAATGCCTGGGGCTGTTGCTGTGCTGCTGAGCCTGGCTGAGCTCCTGGCACACAGGGAGCTCCTGGCAAGCGGGCAGAGTTGCAGAGAGACAGTTCTGCTGCTGAGCAGCTCCTCTGCACAGCCCAGCAGGGCTGAGGGCACTGCCTGCAGGCACTAAAGAAAAGAAGCAAGGCAGAGGGAGGTTCAAGGCAGACCAAAGATGGGAGGTGTTCAGCTGACACTTCACTTGGGAACACAATTTCACAGCCCTCTGCAAAGTGAGTCTACAGATGCAGGGCCATGTGACTTGCGTGCCTGGAGGACTCTCCTAAAGCTGCCACATCCCCCATCCCTGGGCATCTGTCAGGACTCTGCCAGTGTCTCTGTTGCCCAGGGGGAGGATGTGCTCCAGGGCAGGGTTTCCCTGAGACCCCAACAGAGGGACAGGGCTCCTTCTCCCAGGGATGGCTGTGGACTGTCAGGGTGGGGGTGCAGCCAGCGGTGCCCAGGACTGTCCTGCAGAGCAGGGTCCTTGTGCTCCAAGGTTCTTTGGGCCAGGGAAAGGACTCTGCTGCCTGCCAGGGTCAGCTCTCACCCTGCCTGGGGAGTTGCCCTCATCTGTGCAGGGAGAAGCTGGAGGTGGAGGGAGAGAACCCCAGCAGGGCCCAGGCAGGGTCTTCGTGCCCTTGAACGAGTGCTGTGTGGGGTCAGGTCTGCTCAGAGATCCAGATCACACCAGCACCTTTCCAAGGGAACTTGAAAAGGGGAAGGACAAAGCGCAATTATTATGAAGATAAGGAGCTTTTGTGAGTCAGTGTTTTCAGTTTCCCACTCCTGGGGAGTTTGGGGGTTGAGAAGTGGAAATGGAGCTCTCTTGTTGGACAAGTCACCGAGACTCCTGTGCTGTACCTTTGAATGAACAGTGGAGCTGAGAGCAGCTTCCCAAAGTGCCTTCAGCCTCTCCTCTGCCTTTGACAGAAGCAGCATCACCTTCGCTGGACCCATCAGTTTTTTCCTGACCTGCCTTCTTTCTACCTACAAAGAAGAAAAGGTGCCCAGTGGGTGCCCTGCAAACAGGCAGGTTTCTGTAGGGCCAAGGTGAATGCACAGAGGTTGGGATGGAATATGTGAGTTCTGACAGGGTAAAGTCCTGGCCCAGGGAAAGAACTGAAAGCCCTGCAGTGTTCTGGAATGTTTAGAGATGTGCATGGGATCCCCTCTAGCGCAGAGCCCTCCCTGTGAAGAAGCCCCCTGCCCTCCTCTCCCCCCAGCCAAGCCTCTGCCCTCAGGGTCGGGGGGTGCAAGGGCTGAAGCCCCTCCTGTGCAGGCAGAGCAGCAGCAGAACCGTGGGGCAGCTCTGCAGCCCCGGGCTCAGTTACCTGAGCAGAGTACAGGGCTGGGAGCAGCTGCCCGGCCCTGCTGGGCTCTGGGAGGTGGCCCAGCTGGCTCAGGGTGACGCTGTCCCGAGTGCCCGGCGGGCTCTGCCCCGGTCTCTCCCAGTCGCACCCTGCCTGTGCTGGGCCTTGTTCCTCCTCCTACCTGTGCCCTGGCTCTTCTTCTCTTGCTGCTGCTCTGGGGCTCTCTGGGCAGGGCACTTGGAGCTGCACAGTCACCCCTGCCCTTGGGTGTCGTTGTTTGTGAGGATGACCAAAATAATAAAACTGGGCATTCTATGATGATGGCCTAAATTCATTTTTTATTCTCTTCATCCAGAATATTACATTGTCTTCACACAGCTGCACTCACACACTGTCCTTGTAGAATCTTACATACTAACACTATTCTTAGCTCTATTATCTATATTTACCACTACCCTTCACATATGATTGGATGTTCACCTATTATTTACATTCTTTTCCATGCTGTCAGGCTGCACGACCTTGCTGCATCCTCCGACAATTCCCCCTTTTTTGTATTTGCGCCACAAAAATTTCCTGGGTTGTCCTTTGCAGGGCCCTTTGCAAATATGACACCAAATATGGCAACATCAGTAGCACAATTACAACAAAAGACAACAGAAGCAAACTTGTCTTGACTATAGGCAAAAGTCATCCTGATAGTTACCATTTACCAACAGACCATTTAGCCAATTCTGACCAACATTAACTTGCAACTCTTTGATTCTTGCTTCCAGTCATTGAAGGTTAGCATGCATCAGCTTACCATAATTAAATTTATATAACATATCCTCTTAAAATCTTAACATTCATTAAATATTTTAAGTTCACACACATAGATATCTATGCATCTTTTTTCACTCATACAGCTTTTTTCCCAGTCATTCAGAAGGTGGCCACCACAATCATCCTTCATTCACACATAGTTGGGATTTTTATTATAGTTTTGCATTTCAACCACACATCTCAGATCCCAAGTATTACTGGTTGTGTGCTTCTCAGTCTGCCATCTCTGGTGGTCATGTTCACCAATTCCACCTGTCCTGAAAAGGAATCAATACAAGGAACAAAAAGCTTAACAAACCTAAATGAGATCCATTTTTGATCCAGCACGCATATTCTCCTCCCCCCTTTTCCCCCCCTTTTTGTTTTGAAAATATGTTTGGCATGTAAAATGCTTTCTTGACAGTAACTTGCCCCATGAGTGAGCTAGCCCTGCTTTAGAATACCAAAAGCTATGCAACATAACAGAAATAATGTCAGGTGAACTGAAAGAAGAGAAGAAAATCATGTGTGTACACTTTAAATTCCCAACTGAAATGTACCTTAACCTACTGCCAGGAAGGGGAAAAGGAAAAAAGGAAAGTGTAACCTGCAATTACAAAATCACAGTAACCAAGTAACCAGGACCAATCATAGATCTCTTAAACTCCTAACTATTCCTTAGAAAGTTCCACTTCTCTGTCAACTGTGACACTGTGACAAACTCAGTGAAAAGCACCAGTCATGCATATGGAAGTTCTCTTCAAAGTTCCTTTTTTTTTTTTTTTTTTTTTTTTTTTCAAATTTTGCAGCTGCAGTTTCGGCAGCTCTGTCACACTGCCAAGAAAGCTGTGCCGCAACACCACAAATGCTGAGCCCTGGGTCCTCCGGGACCCCCCTCAACGCAAGGGGGCGGCCCCCGATGCCGCCACGGGGCGATCCGCCCCGCTCCGGCTCGGAGCCCGCAACGCCCCAGCTCCGCCTCGCTGCGCAACTGCACCAACACTGGCCCTGCCCCCGCCTTCGCTCCACTCCCAGCACAACTCTGCATAACCCTCCTGCTCTGTGCTGGCTCTCCACGCCGCTGCTGTCTCCGTGCCCTCCGGGTGCTGGCATCCTCGATGTCCGGAATGCAGTTACTCTCTCAACTCTTTTTCATCTGCCTTTTCCAGTTGTTTCCGCTGTTAACAAAAAGCTTCACAAACCGTTGTTATTAATAGTTCAGTCAGGTTTAAGTTGTTATCATGGCAGAAACAGATGAGAGCAGTCAGACAATTTTCCAGAGGGGCTGAGTGGGGAAAAAACAAGGGCTCAGACTCGGGACAGTAGCTGGTCAGCCCGCTGTTTCCCTGCGGGACTTAAACCTGTGGCCCCGGGATTCGAAGTCCCATGCTTTATCGACTGAGCTAGCCAGACTCCTTCTAGGCTAGCTGTGCTCCCGTCAAACTAACCAGGTTCCCTTCAAGTCTTACAGCAGCTTTGTTTCCGAGTCTTAGAGTAAAATCTTTACCCCGTGTCTTCTATCTGTGAGTGACTGTAACTATAACTTGCAAAGCAAACATATTTTTGCCTCTCGTTCAATTTCATTAACATTGTAAAAGTTCAAAGAATATTGTGGGCAGGCTTTACGGAATTCTACAGTTGCTGTCCTTTGTAACGCGTGCGGGGGGGGAGGGAGGGGGGGAGGTTCCGGGACTCCCCCTTCCCATGTCTTCCAGCAGCCCTCCATCTTGCCTCGCCCCCCCATCTCGGCCCATTTTCAGCACACACTAAGGGGGGGAAAGGGGGGGGAACGGGACTGCTTTGATCGCAATCTGAGGCGACCCTGGTCCCCGGTCCTGCTCCGGTTCGGCTCTGCTGAGCCGGGCTACCCCGCCCTGCTGCCCCTAATGAGGACACAAACTAACAGAGTGTCAGTTTATGCGGTGCTTTAATCCAGGGCCCGGGATTCCTGTGGACTAATGTCCCAAGACAGGTACCCAAAGACCCACATTTTGAACGCATCTTTTATACCATTTTCCAAGCAAGGTTACATGATTGGTTTTACATTTCACAGAAGACATAGCAGTTAAACAT